TTAAATCAGATTCTAAGGCGATTATTACGTGGTTGAATGGTTGTATCTAGGAAGGCTCATGGCATGTTTTTTCGGTTTTGTGTGAAATCAGTATAGAAAGGAACGCGTTCTTTTCCTGTGCCTGGTCTTGGGTGCCTCGGGTAACCAATGAAGCTGAGGATTTTATTGCGTCGCATGCTGGTGCGGAGTTGTGCAACTTTGTCTGGGTTAGAAGACCTTCATCTTCATTTGTAAATATTCTTAACAAAGATGGGCTCCCTTGCCCTCTGTTTTAGTTTTTGTTTAGGTAGGATTAAGGGTGACATGGTGATGTTCTGTGTCTTGTTTTTTGTCCCTTGTTTCTACTTCTTGTTTACTGATGTTAGCCACCATGGCTTTCTGTTACCCTTTGGTTGCGGGCATGGTTAATGATATTTTCCAGTTCAACAAAAAAAAAATAATATTGGACAATAATGTTTGTGTCCACGATCCATGATAAGAATCGTAATTGTAAAAAAAAAATAAAAAAAATAAAAAAAAACCTTTCACCTAAAATGGTCTTTGAGATTGACATCACTCTTCACTTTGGTCCCTGAAATTTGAAATTGATAAAAGTGGTCTCTGAGTTTGTCATCAATCATTATGGTCATTCCGTGAAAAATATCCCTTAAAAAAGGATAAAATGATCAAAATACCATCAATTTTTGTGAAATCATTTTGACTCATTGTATATCAAGTAAAGGGTATGTTTGTCATTTTGGTCCTAATTTAACAAATTCCGCTTGTGTAAGTTTATCTTATTTTATCGGTCTCAAACCCAGATAAAGGAGGAGGGGGAGGGTGTTAGGTAGTCGGCAACTGGCACTTTTATCTTACGTCAAATCCTTATGATAATGAATCATAAACGAAATTGTGCTAAAGCTAGACAGTCACCCATAAGTGGCGCGTTATGTGGCCCAAGCATAGTGATAAGTGAGCATGGGTCGCTATATCTCCATCGATGCCTAGATGCAATATTAAATGAGCAAGGGGGCCATAGAAACTTCTTTTTTAACAACTCCACTCAAAGTTGTTTGGAAGCATATGCTACCATCAACTTTACACAGGGTACACGAAAGAAGTACTTTGACCTTATTAGACGGGGGAGGGTGAAGAAGCTAGGACATGAGGGTAGAGGTCAAGAGAGTAGAATGCATTTAGGAACGTGGAATATAGGAACCTTAATGGGAAAATCTATGGAAGTAGTGGAAGTAATGGTAAAGAGAAGGATAAGTATTATGTGCCTCCAAGAAACTAAGTGGGTTGATCTTAAGACAAAGGATCTCGAAAACTCAGGTTTTAAAGTTTGGTATTCGGGCACAAATAGAACGAGAAATAGTGTTGGCATGATCATGAATAAGACCCTGACACAAGATGTTGTAGATGTCAAGAGGGTAGGAAATAGAATTATGGCACTTAAGATTGCAATAGGACAAGAACTCATCAATGTGATTAGTGCATACCCACCTCAAGTAAGGTTGGATACAAGTTTGAAGAAGAAATTTTGGGAAGACCTTGGAGACTTAGTGCAAGGAATCGCTCAGACTGAAAAAGCATTTATAGAATGAGATTTAAATGGACGTGTAGGCAAGGAGATAGGCAACTATGGAGGTTTTCATGGTGGCCATGATTTTGGGGAGGGAAATGAGGATGGGGAAGCCATCTTGAATTTTGCAATGGCATGTGATCTCTTCTTAGCCAACACCTTCTTTAAGAAGAGAGAAGAACATGTGATCACCTACAAAAGTAGGTCTTCAAAAACACAAATAGATTTTCTTCTAATAAGGAAATGGAATCGTATAACTTGTAAGGATTGCAAAGTTATACCGGACGATAGCTTGGCTAATCAACATCGCTTTTGGTGATGGATGTACATATCAAAAGAGAGAGAAAAAAGAACAAGATCTTAAAGTGCCCAAGGATTAGATGGTGGAATCTAAAAGGAGAAAACAAATCATTTTCAAAGAGAAAGTAATCATCCAATACGTTTGGGATACAAAGGGGTAAGCTAGCCAAATGTGGGGTTCCATGGCTAGTTGTATCCAAAAGTAGCAAAAAGGGTTCTAGGAGAGTCCAAGGGTTTTGCTCCACACCAAAAGGAATCTTGGTGGTGGAAAGATGAGGTACAGACAAAGTTAAGACTAAGAAGGAATGTTGTAAACCTTTATACAAGGATAAAACCGACAAACATGGTGAAAGCTATAGAATAACAAAGAAGAAGGCAAAGAAAGTTGTGAGAGAAGCGAAGCTAACAGCTTTTTACGATATGTATAAGCAACTAGATACCAAATAAGGAGAATTGAATATCTATAAACTAGGTAGAGCAAGGGAAAAGAAAACAATAGACCTGAACCAAGTAAGATGCATCAAGGATGAGAATGGAAAGGTTCTTGCTATAGAAAACGTAGTCAAATACAGATGGAGAGGTTATTTTTATAATCTTTTCAATGAAATACATGAAAAGAGTACTTCTTTGGGGGAGTTGAGTAACTCAGAAGAGTGTAGAAACTATTCCTTCTACCGCCGAATTAGGAAGGAAGAAGTGGTTGTAACTTTGGAAAAGATGCAACATAGAAAAGCAATGGGCCCAGATGATATATTGATCAAAGTGTGGAAAGTCTTGGGAGAGACGGGTATAGCATGGCTCACAAACCTTTTCAATAAGATTTTGAAAACTAAGAAGATGCCAAATGAGTGGTGAAAGAGCACTTTGGTGCCTATCTACAAAAATAAGGGCGACGTACAAAATTGCATAAACTATAGCGGTATTAAGTTAATGAGTCATACAATGAAGCTCTGGGAGAAAGTAATTGAGCATAGATTGAGGCAAGAGACATAGGTCTCAGACAACCAATTCGGGTTCATGTCAGGGCACTCAACCATAGAGGCAATCTATCTCTTACCAAGATCAATGGAAAGATATAAAGATATGAAAAAAGATTTGCACATGGTCTTTATAGATTTGGAAAAAGCGTATAATAGGGTCCCAAGAGACATTGGTTGGAGGATTTTAGAGAAGAAATAAATATAAGTAGCATCTATCCAAGCTATAAAAGATACGTATGATGGAGCAAGGACTACCGAAAAACTCATGAAGAACAAACCAAAAGCTTCCCCATAACTGTAGGGTTACATTAAGGCTCATCTTTAAGTCCTTACCTTTTTGCATTGGTAATGGATGAGTTAACAGGACATATTCAAGTTGATATTCCTTGGTGTGTGCTTTTTGCAAATGATATAGTGTTGATAGATGAAATTCAAGAAGGAGTAAATGTGAAGCTTAACCTTTAGAGAGAAGTGTTAAAATCTAAAGATCTTCACCTAAGTCGGTCAAAGACAGAGAGTATGGATTGCAAGTTCAGTGCGAAAGGAATCTCAAATGAGTTAGGGGTGAGAATTGGAGATCAAGAAGTACCAAAGAGCGACCGCTTTCGCTACTTAGGATATATCTTGCAAAAGAACAGAAAGTTGGATGGAGACCTCAACTATTGAATACAAGATGAATGGATGAAGTGGAAGAGTGCATTGAGTGTGTTGTGCGGTCGTCATATGCCACTAAAGCTCAAAGGAAATTTTTATAGGACGGTAATAAGGCCAACAATGCTTTGTAGTACGAAATGTTGGGCGATGAAGTATCAACACATACATAAAATGAGTGCAGCAGAAATGAGAATGCTTCGTTGGATGTGTGGGCACACGAGAAATGATAAGATTAGGAATGAAGATACCCGAGGTAAAGTTGAAGTAGCTGAAATTGAGGGAAATATGAGAGAAAATCAATTACGGTGGTTTGGACATGTGAAACGAATACCTATTAACGCTCCGGTTAGAAGATGCGATTACGAGACAGAGGTTCAAGGCCAAAGGGGTAGAGGAAGACCTAAAAAAACTTTGGAAGAGACTATAAGAAAAGACTTAGAGTACTTGGATCTAACAAAAAACTTGGCATAGACAAAATGGAGCGTAATGGCGTTCTAAGATTCATACAGCCGATCACACTTAGTGGGAAAAGGCTTTGTTGTTATTGTTGTTGGTCCTAATTTAACAAAAATTTTCAAAATGACCAAAATGATTGATAGTGGACTCAGGAACCACTTTTATCAATTTCAAATCTCAAGACCAAAGTGAAGAGTTATACCAACCTCATATAGACCATTTTAGCTAAAAAGAAGGAAAAAAAAAAAAAAAAAAAAAAAGGGAATTGCTATGGAAAAATACACTCGTGAAAAGTGTAGAATAAGATTTGTTTAGTGCTAATAACAGTTTCACACAAAAAAATATAAATAAATAAATAAATAAAAAAGGTCTAAATCGTCGAAAGCCGTCGCAATTTCCAATACATCCGCATCTCCAACACCATTATCGTTAACAGTGGGTTTACAGTGATGGGTAGGTATTTGCCGAGGGTATTTTAAATAAATTGGCAAGTCGTTTTTAAGGATATTTTACATGAACTCAAATTTTACAATGATTGGTAGGTAGATACTTAATAAGGCCATTTCTGTAAAGATGTTAAATGGAGGGCCTACGGGGTTTATTCACTAACTAGTGACTACGATGTCTTAGGCTAGCTCTGTTTCATTTCAAGCAGTTCCATGAAATAATAGGTCAATCTGTAAGGCAAAAGTGCATGCATGATGCCTCGCATAAAATTTACTTGGGAAATGAAGAATAACTAAATAAATATAAGCAGCACTAGCAGTGTAGATATAATGTGCAGCACAAGCAGTGTAGATATAATGTGCAGCACTAGCAGTGTAGATATAAAATTTGCGCAAGCTAAATCATCTCTACAATCTGCCAGCAGAGTGACGACTAGTATAGCCCTCCTCAAAACCAAGTTTTTACCATCGTCGTAAATTTTAACATTCAAAGGTAGCATCACCAACCACAAGGTTACAACTAAAACAAGCGAAAACCTGCACCACAAGCTATAGTACTCAAAACAAATAAAGTAGATGCATTTGTGCTACTGAACAAAATAAAGCAGAGCTGGAATGGTCATTACTATTAATCTGAAAGGTTGACACACTATCAAACTCAAGTTACAAGTATCTTGTCTGTTTTTTGTGTTATTGATTGTTTAAATTAAGCTTGGCAATAATCTCCGAATTGTATGTTCAGCAAACAGAAAAACGGATATTATTTCAGACTTGAATGAGTGAACAGAAGAAGAGAAGAAAATAACAGAAACACAACTGTAAGGAGAATCCCACCCCTAATCAAACACCTACTTGTACCTCTAAAGCAATCTTGATATACTGGAATTATTGGTTTAATCACCAAACCCGAGGGGAGGGATTCATCTCTGGGGGGAATCCACTGTCCGAACATTTGCACCTGTCATTCCTTCAATTCGGTCTTTGGTTATCTCCACAAAGTGACCTACTATTTCATAGAACTGCTTGAGCCCTGACAGCGGAAGAATTATGGAGGACCGATCAGAACCTGCAACCTGTAAATTTAACAGAATTCTAAAGATATTATGACTTCATTTACTGTCAGAAACCTAAAATTAAAAAGGTAAAACGAACAAGCAAATCCTTCTAGGGTCTCAAAGAAAACATTCTTTCACTTCCTGAAGCATACCTCGGATATTCTTAGGAAGTGACCCCTGTTATTATTCCCAAGATCAAAGAAGAATCTCTTTTGATCAGCTCTGATCACTTTAGATATCCCCATGTTACCAATTTCATCTTGTGCCGGCAACTCAGCGGATCTGTCATTCAGTTCAGAAGTTGGAGCAGTTTGACTACTGTGGCCAGATATGAAACCAGCGCCTACGTCATCTGAAAGCCCAACAAGACGCTCTGAAGGTTCAGAACTTTGCTGCTTTGGCATGGAAACAACCAGGTGGAAATTCACAAGACTTGTGAGTCACTCCCAAAAGAGAAACTTAGATTACCTAGAAAGCAGGAAGGAGTTCATGTATGAAAAACAAGGACACCTGATTTGGCAGTATAAAAAGCCTTGATGCTTCATTGATCTCCGCCAAAATGTTTCTAAATGCTGCCCACCCTTCATCTCGGGTGCTTCCTGCAGGAACAATAATAGTACTGCGATTTCTACTAACAGAAGCTTCAGAAACCTGCACCAAACACATCATCAGAGCAGTAAAAGGTGAACAAGAATGCGGAGTCTAGCCCTGGAATTGCCATCTCCTCAAAATGGTTACAACTCACGCAAAGACAACAACAAAACTAACGCTAGCCCTGGAATTGTCTTCTATTTCAAATGGTTACAACTAGTGAAAAGACAATAATAAAAAAAAATAACACAAGATAGCTTCAAAGGTCGTTGCTTGACAAATAAAAGTTACCGTAGGCCATAAAAGACCCACATCTTCAGGGGCTGTCATCAATGGTGAGGTCTGACACCCTAATGTCAACCATATTAAAGATTCCTATAACTAAAAAGTCAGGGCAGGGGAAAGAAACCAGAGCTCCATGTCCAAACTATGGAGTTAAACCTAGAACCATCATTGTTTAATGATGGCGGTCAATTGATGCCTAAGAATAGGGGCTAGTGAGCACCTAAACATTTCAGCGTAATCCAGTAGCCCCAAATTTAAGAAGTTAAATCAAGGTTGTAACATTTTAGGGGTTAAGGTGAGTGCACATTCTTTGTTACTATTTCAATCCAACATTGGAAAGCATGATAAGGTGGTAAATTCATGTAATGTAAGTGGAAATATGTGAGATATTAAATTATCAAAGAATAGAAAGTTGGGGGTGGAATAAGAGTAGATGTTGAAATGTGTTGCAACGGAAGGAGCATCAAACTCAGAACTCTTGTACAGAGAAATCTCTCGTCAGTACACACATTTAAGTCTGACTTGGTAAACTACCACATCATCGCGTTTTGAATGGGGACTAAAGAGAGGTCTGAGTTAAGTAAGAGTTCTACCTGTACCAAAGGAAATCTATGCTTGTGATTGTTCTTTTTCTTTTCTCCCAGACACAAAGTGGTCTTTAACAATTAATTTTTCAGAAACACAAGAAGCAAAGAAGACAAACACTCCCAAAGGTCAGTACACAAGGTTCGTAACTTTGGAGAATGTGAAATGGTTTGTCTGAAAGGGCCGTAATCTTTTGTTAAAAGTTCTTTACAAGAGTTTAACCTTTGACAGCTGATAGTGAAAATTTAAATTTTACTCAGTATGGAGCAAGCCAGTAACTGGTTTCTCACTTGACATTTGATTGTAGTATGCCTCTCCAACTCAGGAACCACTTTGCTTCCATATCCGAAAGGTTAAATAGAAAATTCATTAAATTATTTTGGATACCACATCTTAAAGCATCTGGTTATAAATTTGAACAACAGTTTAAAGTATTGATACGATGAATACAAGAACAAGCACTAGATTCAGATGGTCTTCAAGAGGGGCAAAACAAACAACTCAAAATGAATAACTTAACCTAATTAGGATAAGTAGAAATAAAATTTATGCAACTGGGATCTAAGAAGGTCTTCAAACATAGATAAGTTCCTGTGGCAATTTGCAAATCAGGATAGACAAGAATACACGTGTTGCATTCATCGTTCATTGATACCCAAAATGAAAATGAAGAAGTACCATGCTATATAATACATGAATGCATGCTTGAGCACATAATGAAACTTATATGTACAGTTATTTTCTAATACCTTAGAAAAGAGAATATTTTTAACCAAAAATCATATATGGACGACTGAGATTCCCTATGGTTGAGATCTCATCCATCCGCATCTAATATAACAGTTGAGTAACGCCTTTGTTATATTAGATATCTCTCTATGTGAAGGTGTGTACATACACAACAATGTTTTAAGCATTTGACGCCAAGTGCCATAATAGGATGTTAGCATTATACTATGCTCTAAGTTGTTGGGGAAAATAAAAATAAAAATCCAACAATTAGAATGTCAACGAGTTGGAGATCTTAAGCAAATGGTATGTTTCCTATTGATGTCAGATTTTCATCCACCGACTTAAGCATAGAATCTTTCCCCTTAAATTACTTGACATCAATTAATATGAGAAACAAATACCATTTAGTAAGTAATGTAGGGCTCCATGTTATATCGAGCCTACATAAATATTCAAATCATTCACAAGCTGCTCGCCCAACAGTGGACATGAGCTACTGAAGAGTAGAAGGGAGAGATTTCTATACTAATAGTTCTTCGACTGTTCAACAGTTGTGTCAGGCACAAATAACTTTTACCTTGGTCGTAATAAGATTTGAGCAGTGACACAAAAATCTGGAAGTTGGTTTAAGATATTGATGGCATTTAAAATTTATAGAGTACCAATATGGAAATAAGGGGGTCATTTGATTTCTTCCTAGGAGTACGGTGTTGATGAATTACACATAAAACCATATCAATATGATAAAATTTCCAAGATAAAGGTGAATTTTCTAGCAAATCCCCAATAAGTTGAACGTACGTAGGATGTATATATCTGAAATAAAGCTAGTTTACTGAGTTTAGCTTCATCTCCACAGGACATGAACTCACAAGTCACGACCATCAATCACAGGAAAAGCACTTGGTTGGGTTCCTGAAACTTCCCTTTCTTCTTAGAAAATGCAAACACAGAGGAGGTAAAATGAAGGTGGACAATGGTTTTTCACAACGCTAGCCCTAACCATGTCTTTGGGCAGATTGGAAAACCAAACATCCTACCTGCTTTAGACAAAAAAAACTAAATGGCTTATGTTATGAGAAAATGAAAAGTGGAGAAAGTGAAAAGAAAAGCTAGAAGAATTACGAATTACTCATTCCAATGATCTAGGAATTTCAAGTTTTGGTTTCTCAAGTTCTATATTAAACATATAAATGGTCTGAAATTGTAATGATTTGGGATAAATGTGGATTAATGTTTATTTTTAGAAACATCTAAGTATTTTCCTTTTGGACATAAAATTGAGATTTCCTAAAGCTCCCTTCAGAATTTCCATGAATTTAATAAAATAGCCATTTTTAGGCAACTTTTACTTGTATTTCTACCGATCTTTCCATCTATATCCAAATTTTCAACCTTACCCTTGATACACTATTATGCTATCATATGTCATAAAAAGCAAGGGCGTGTCATCTGCCATTGGTCAGAGGCAGGTGAATAAAAACCCACAAGACTAAAGATATTCCTCAATAGAAATAAAGAAAGGATAGTTTTATAAAAAATAATGAGATATAAACAAAGTACGTATAAGTACAAGGGTGACTCAAAAATCAATTAAAGACACTCGGGAAACATAGACAACACACATAAAATGTCTGCATGTGACATCACTACCTCCAATGGTTAGTCAACTACGCTTCACATGAAACGATTCCCAAAATGTTAAACAATCTCCATCTCTACCGTTATCTCAAATATCCTTTTAATTCTTCTTACCTCACAAAACCATCAGAGTTATTTGAAGGACCCATACATTCACCAACTACATCATCCTCCATCCAAACCTTGACTTAACAAGTGACCATTACCCCAAGTGTGTTGGAATCTTTAAGAGAAAATGCTCAAAAAGAAGTAGATGAACCACTTCAATATGAAATTTCAGGGATACACTTTCAAAACTTAGGAATTAGAAACATTTAGTGAGAGAAAATTTCAAAAGCAACATTAAACTAGAAAAATCATCCTCATTATCCATGTGAGAGGAGGAAAAAAGATTTATGAATTTGGTGGTGGTGGAGAAAATGCTCAAAAAGAAGTACATGCTAAAACTACTTCAATATGAAATTTCAGGGATACACTTTCAAAACTTAGGAATTAGAAACATTTAGTGAGAGAAAATTTCAAGAGAACTGTTAAACTAGAAAAATCATCCTCATCATCCATGAGAGAGGAGGAAAAAATATTTATGAATTTGTTGGTGGTGGTGGTGGTGGTGGTGGTGGTGACTTCAATATGAAATATCAGGGATACACTTTCGAAACTTAGGAATTCGAAACATTTCGTGAGAGAAATTTTTGAAAGCAACATTAAACTAGAAAAATCATCCTCATTATCCATGAGAGAGGAGGAAAAAGTATAGCTTGAGTATTTACAACAAGCTATACATCTCTTTTGTCCCCCAACTAAAGAAGCCAACTTCTGAGGCATTTAGGGGACTCTTCATAGAATCAGGCTCTTGAGCTTGCATACAATGTGAAGAAAAACAGAATTCTAAAGCAATTCACTATGAAATCATATCCATTGACTAATCATCAGCATAGGTTTGTGTGCTTCTTCAGTTTAGATATCAAATCCTATCCCTATAAATTTCAACAGTTTTCTATGAACTCATCTCTTTTGTCCTCCAACTAAAGAAACCAGCTGTTGAGGCACTTTAGGGAACTCCTTATATTATCAGGCTCTTGGTCTTGCATAGAGTTTGAAGAAGGGGTGGTGCTATCAACACACCTCCGATCGAATGAATTGAAGAAGACCAAAAGAACATAAATTAACAAGGTGTGTGTGGGATGTAAAAATGGGTGTGCGGATAGCACAACCCTTGAAGAAAAAGGGTTCTAAAACAATTCATTGTGAAATTAAAATAGTCCTTGACTATTCATCTGCTTAGCTTTGTGTGCTTAATTTATCGACAGTTTCCGCAAAACAAGGATTAAGGATCTACATATCAATACCATGTAATCCAGAACATATGTAAACACCCATAAACATATGCATACAGATGGAAACGCAATTGTTTGCATACAAATCTTTAATTAGGAAAAAAAAAATCCTGAATTCAGGGCCAGGTCAAGGTGATGAGGCAACCGCAGATGCAAGGCTAAATTGATGTGTGCCTAGTGCTTAGTCAAATGTCATTATGCACAGGCCGGCAGATGCAAGTAAGTAAAACACCAAAAATTGATCCTAAGTAAGTAGAGTCTGAGTATTCAAGGATGTGGTTGGAAATTAGCAAGAAAATTTGATGGGATGGGATGCCTGTAAGATTTTGAAACAGACGATAGAATATATTTAAAATTAAAAAAAAATATTAAAATATTAAACAAAAAAAAAAAAAAAGGAAAGGGATAAAGTGATAAAGGGACCTTCAAGAAGCGGCCCCTGCGATTTTCGCCTATGTCAAAGTAGAAGACCTGAGGAGGAGAAATTAAGGTCAGCCAGAAAAAGAAAATAAAGAAGAAGAAAGCATGAGGGAGGGAGGGAACTTGCCTTGGTGTCGAGCTGCAATTCCTTGCTGAAGACTTCCTGGTCATCGGAATTGACATAGTAATTGAAGAGGTCGAGAAACCAAGAGATGCCGGAGAAGGGAACGATGATGGTGGACCTGGTGGCCGACGTCTTCTCGGAAATTTTAAGATAGCGGCCTCGAGGGTTCTCTTTGAGATCGAAGTAGAAAAGCTTGTGCTCAACCTGCAGCGTCTTACACAGGAGCTCGACGTCGTTCCCGCCGCCTACTGCCGCTGCACAGCCTCCTACGCCCCCCGAATTCCCTTCCATCTGCAAATCCTTCTGTTTATGTTATTTCGTAATTTTAACCTAATCCAAATAAATAACCACCAAATTTGCCACTCCACCACTACTACTAGCTAGTTGTTTCGTTGAGAGTCAGTCGTGAGAGTTGAGAGTTGAGACATACCACCGACGCAAGCTATGGAGCTCTGGTTGGTTGGTAAATTGCTACTTGGTAGGTGTCAGCCCCCAGATCTCACTTCTCAACTTGGAATTGCTCCTCGATTGCTAGTTATGCAAACTAGGGTTTTGGGCCTTGGGGATGTCATGTGAGGGCGAAATTGAACCACTCATACTCTCAGCCTCCAGTTTCCACCCTCCACTTCCCGTCCCCCTACATGCAAGTTTCTATTATATCATTTTATTTTGTTTTATTTATTCATTTTATTTTGATTCATCAACTGTACCAAATTTGCATTTTCGTTCCTCGATGCCAAATTTGCCTATTTTCACACAAAATTTCCATTTGTTTTCCGCACAACTACTTTTTCTCGTTTTCATGAATAAGGAATATATTACTAAACATTTAAATTAACAGTTAATGAGTGTTTAAAATGTGAGTCAAGTCTAAAAACCACATGGCGTAATATGTAAAAATTGAAACTTCGTAGCACATTTTGCAAATGAACCATAAACCTTGTGATGTAAAGTACAATTAACCCTATTTAGTTTAAGGTTTTATTAATTTTAATCAATTAATGCATATTTAATATTTTGTTTTAATTTAAGACTAACGGAAGCGACCAAAATTGTTAACTTTTGACATCATAGTGATCATACTGACTAAATTGAACACAATGACTAAAAGAGATTTTGACCCAAAGTTCAGTAACCAAAAAAGTTTGTAACCGTTTATTGGGAGACTTTTAGGTTGAGGTGGACTTGGGCTTTAAGAAAGTCATCTTGTCTTCTTTGGTGTGGATTCGTACCAAGTTCCAGGATATCTCAAAAAAGTTAGTTTGTCTTAGGAAATATCCCAGTAACATCAACGGCTCAAAGATAGCATAATTAATCAAAATAATGACTTGCTCAAGTGAAGCGTGGTGTGGAAGCTAGAAGATTATCGGTTTAACATAAAAGAGAAGGGATTTGCATGGTTGCATGGCATTCTTGGCTGGATGATTAGGGTTTTCCTAGGGTGATAGTAAGGCTTCTAATGGCTGAGATGTTTAATGGAAGATTGTGGGAGTTACTAAGGTTGCATGGATGATGATTGAGGCTTGGAGTATGCTTCTGGGCTAAGTGGAACTCTCTAGGTTTACTTCCTGGTGGTGCTCTCTTCCTGCATTTCTGCTCTATCTCTTCCTGTTATCTCAATCCCCTGCTCAAATGGTTTCTCCCTCCTTATGTAAGTGAAGGGTTCTTCTCTAGGCTTCTAAGGAATCTCATTTTGTGGCTTGGCCTTCCCCTTCCTCTCTCCCTAGCCCTCCTACTATTTCCCTTTTGGTGTAAGGTAGTTGCACTATTGAAACATGCAATATGCTTCTTCCCGAGGTGCATCTTTCCCAAGTCGACCTTCTGCAGTCGCTACTTCTGGTAGCGCGCCTTATGGCTTTCACGTGTTGGTTGTTTGTGCAAGCTGGGAATGGAAAGTTAGCATTAAATGCCTGACTTGCTGAGCTTAGCATGCATTTAATGCAGGAATCTAGTTTAGTCCTAACGAAGAGGGTTGGCTTGCTAAAGAAAAGGGTAAACTAGGTTAGTTCTCTCTCAATGTTGCCTGCATGAAATGCTGAGCTTGGATCTTTGGGCTCCCAAGCAACCCAGAGTCTTCCATAACCCTGATTCCACTTAGGCCCAATAACCTTCCGTAACCATCCACACCACAATCCACTTGACAAGCCCTGAATATGTGACTTGGGCGTAACATGAATACTGACTAGCATAAGGAAGCTTGGTGTGATTTATGTGAATATCCAGCTTAATTAACATGGCATGGCATATTTGTAAATATATTCCTCATCAATCATGCGCCTTGGCATATGTTTGGACTTGAATGTAGGCTTTACATGACAATTGGGTCTTGAGACTTGATTGGATTGGTGTGTAACATTTTTGGGCCCCAACACCCTTAAAACCTTGATTGATAATGTAACTAGGTTAAAACAAGCGGAATAGTGAAAGTGTTTTTCTTTTATAATTGATAAATAAGAGAATGAAGGTTTTCCCTTTTCTTTTCTTTTTTTCTTTTTTTTTTATTGTTGAGAAAACATAAAATTTTATTAAATAGGAAGCAGCCCAATACAAGTTACAACAAACAGCCCAACAGATATTGGGGACAGCCAAAATGCCCAATCAGCAATAAGACAAAAAAAAAAAAAAAAAAAATCATAACCTAATCCTTATCACACAAATGCTACCACTGCTGCAACCTCTTCGTCGAAAGCTACAAGAGCAGTCGCCCTCAGAAAAACCAACTCCTCGTTGAATTCAACGAAGGTATCGCAATGCAAAACCTTTAAACTTGCAACAATGAAGTATTCTCAACCAAATTTTGCCACCAAAATTGCCGCACCAAAGAAGATTCACCAGATCTGAATCACCATCACATGCCCCTGCAAGTAGAACCAAGAACCAAAACAAAAAGGAAAGAGATGAGGCTAAGGGGGCATTTAGAACATTGTCGCTTTGGGCAAAGCCGCAACATGCTTGCCCCGATTTTTTGGCATGCCAGTCGGGTGCGGAGCAATAAAAAGATATAGATCTGAGAGCCAAAACAAGTGAAATGCAAGTGGCTTTAAGCAAAGAATGAGGAAGGGATGGAATGTGAGGAGAAGCAAATGAACAAAGTGGAAGAGAATGGTTGTTGGGAGTTGAAGGAGGATAGTTGTAAGATGGGGTTGTCAAAGGCAAAACAAACACCTAGAAACGACAAAAGACGCCGAGAATAAAAGTCGTCACCTCACAATCCGACATCTATAGGCAGTGAAAGAGCAAGTGGAAGAGCAAGAGAGTTGCCTCCAATCCCTACCAAAGGAAGAAGTAAGACAGAAGAGCAGGGGAGTTTTGGTGGGGTTCAACGAGAAAGGGGCTAAAGGTTTTCTCATTGATAATCAAAGAATGGAGGTAATTTCATTACACGGTGTAACGTGTAACAATTAGCCAAAAAGAAATATAAAATTCATTTTTGTTTTGCACACACATTTTCTCCTTCTCGATGTCCTTATTCTTTCTGTCTCTCGACTCTCGTTTGATTTGTTCAATCCAATAATAAAAAATGAAGAACAAATCAAATAATCAGAAATGATGAAGGGTGGACATGAAGTGAAAATTTGCATGTGAAAATTACTGCCCCCGATATTTCAGATGCACAGCCTCATTATAATGAGGTTTGTTAAAAAGTGGGAATGAATGAGATGGGAGAAATATTAAAGCGCAAGCCATTTGAGTTGGGACAAGAAATGAATAATTGGCCCTTGTTGCAAAACGAATAAATTAGGGTAAATATCAGTTTACTATCCTCAAATTTCGTGGTTTTCAATATTTAGTACATGAAGTTTTTTTCATCCCAAAGTCATACCTAAAGTGTTAATTTTGGGACAGTTTCATACATCCGTTAGTCTGGCTATTAAATCTCCCGTTAATTGATGACGTGGCGCCTATGTGGACAATGACTGGGCACCACGTGTCATTAAGGGAATTAAAAATTCAAAAAAAAAAATTATTTAAAGGGAGAGAAAAAAAAAAAAAAAAAAAAACCCAAATCCCCATCCATGCTCACTCACCCATCTTCCACCTCTCTTCTTTCTTCCCTCTGCAACACCCTATTCGGCTCCCCCTTCTCCACAACCACCACCTCTTCTTCCTCCTCCTTATCTTGCATCCCAACCCAAACTCAGACCGAAACCCCCACCATCCTCCTCCTTATCTTGCACCCTAGCAACAGCACCACCACCAGCCACCGCTCGATACTTTATTCCTTAGACCATGGCCCAACAACACCCATCACACTCTCACTCATTCCGAGCTCTGCACATCACCGGTTCCACCTACTTTTCTTGACAAACTCGTCGGATGACTTGACTTCGTGGTCGTCCTAATTTACTCACCAGCTGGTTCACCCAGTTCATCCAGCTCTAAGACATTACCTGTATTGGCATCTCTGGTTTTGTATTCCTCGGGTTTCGGATCTATCATCTTCCATTCGTCAAACGATCGACCATCACGCGATTGCACGAGGGTGTTGTAGGTGCAAATGACGAGTATTTGGGGGGAGGTAAAAGATGGGTATTTGTCAACCACGTGCTGCGACTGCAAGAGGATCGACTGCACCTTCTCTGAGCCAATGGTGGTGGTGCTGTTGCTAGGGTGCAGGATAATGAGGAGGAGGAAGAAGAGGGTAGGGGTTAAGATGGATGTGCAGAGGTTACGGTCGATTTTTTGAGATTTGAAGCCAAATTTGCATGGAGAGTGAGTGATGAATAGTGGGAGAAGGGGGGAATATGGGGGTTCAGGGAAGGTGGTGGTTGCATACTGAGAAATGAGGTCGTCGAAAAGGATAAGGGTTGAGTGGGTGAAGTCAAAGAGGGAAGGAAGGATGGATGTGCAAAGGTTGGGTAAGTGTAAAGGAGAAGGGAGAAGGGAAGAGGGTCGAGGTGGGGAAGACGATAGGGTTTTGGGGTTTTTTTTTTATTATTATTATTTTATTATTATTTTTATTTAATTAATTATTTAATATTTTTAATGATTCATAACGTCCAGTTATTGTCCACATGGGCGCCACATCATCAGTTAACGGAAAACTTAATAGCTAAACTAACGAATGTATAAGACTGTCCCAAAATCAACACTTTAGGTATGACTCTGGGACGAAAAATACTTCATATACTAAATGTTGAAAACCACGAAACTTGAGGGTAGTAAACTGATAAGATTTTCTGTACTGTAATCAGTTACACAGCCAGACAATCGATAGAAAAAAAAAAAAGCAAAATTATCATGAGGATACACATTCTAAAATAACCCTAAATCATTATTGCCAACATAACAGAACGCTCTTGAGAAAGTGAACAAATATTACAAAGGTAACATCCCACTGCAACTATATATAACAAGCAACAACTTTGAGTTACCTAAGATCCAATTGCTAGCACCATAACAGATGACTGTTATCTCGCATGTACAAGTCAAGACTCTTGGGGCGTCTCAAATCTCGTTGGAGTGTCAATCCCCATCATACAGCAAATGCCCGATATTAAGATTATAAGCAACACGACTCCCTGAATCATCACAATAAAAGACATCATCAGTATCGTGGATACTTGCATCTTAAGGAACTAGAAAAATATATAGGCCACGCGTACTTGTCATTATAACAAATCCACACAATTACTATGTCTGAATAGGGATGTATGAGTATATTTGCATCTATGGGCCAAAGAGAAAAAGGAAACGGAAAACTATGTGGAAGGGGCATTGGACATCCTGACGACAAGTAATAAGAGTGTCCATATATGAATGGAGTGGGCAATTATACTTTTTAGCAGTAAAAAAGATGTAGAGGTGGGTATTAACTTAAGTTATTTTGTCTGAGAACTATCTGGGTACGATTTGGACCATAGGGAGATATCAAAATGTAGTGGCTACAAACTCTTATAGAAACCATAGTATAGCAAAACAAAAGATATGGACAAGGATACTTACAACTAGAAGTCCCTCTAGAAGAGATGATTTTAATAGACAAACTTCATCACAGGCCGTAGAATTGGCTGATGCATTTCCTGAACCACTTTCAGCCAGAAACCTTTCTAATTCTCGATGAGAAGGATATTGGATCGACTTACTGGGATCTGAAACATATAGAACTCCATACTTTGCCCCAGATTGATCCAAGGAATTAACTAGCTCAGAAAAAACTTTACCTGCAAAAATCGAATTGAAATATTTGAATGACCATCCATGTCCTAGAGCAGTGTGACTGAGTACACAACCAAAAAACTTATATGATTCATATATATCACAATATAATAACAGTTTTAACTTAACAGACCTTCAGAATGTGGTTGGTCAAGTTCTTTGGAAGATTCAGATCCTTTATGGCAGAACACAACCAAATCTACTTCCCCATTGGATCTCTTCTCCATCCTTGAAACAAGGTAATCCTGCCATATTTTTATTGGGGAAAGAAAGACATCAGATCTTTTTCATAGACCAAACATGTTTCTAATGTAATGTACACGATCGTCAAGTTAATTTACATGGAATGATTGCACATTTGTGAGCTTTTGAACATTTTCACCCTCAATAGAGCATGACCCCAATAAAGCAACATTACTGAGTCCTAAATCCTGTCCACAAGTCTCTGAAATCTCTGACACCAAAGAATTTTCCATAGAATCATCCTCCGGTGCAGCAACATAAGGGAAGGCCATGGAGAAATTGGATCCTGAGAAAGAGGTCTATTGAAGACCATGGAATGGCAGCTATTAAACCAAAATTTTCATCATATATATCAACCAAAAGACCACAAGCAATTGGGCAAACTCTACCTACTTTCAGCAAGTCCACAAGAGCTGGATCTGCATGTCTGTTTGCAGGAACATCTGAAGATTGTAACTAAGAAAAGAAAGAAAGCTCAAGAAATAAACAACGACAAAGGCTTTTCTCTGTATTGCAATGTCAATAATAAAGCTCATCAAAAGTGAAAGCTCTCTTTGGTTCTTAGAGAGTGATTCTTATACTCATTCAAAATCTTGGAAATTTAAATCCAAATTACATACACGTTACTTCCCTGGCATTGTACTTTATGCAAAGCAAGCAACTGTTTTGATTCTAGAAAAACAGTTTACAATTTAATCCCGTAAAAGATAAAAACGTAAAGTAGCTAGACACCTAAGCAAACAAGAACAAATTGCCTCAGCACTGTATAACATCCTCAGCCACCACAAAGGTTCAAAGATGAAGTAGCTTTCATCTGAACTGGCAACATGTATATGGAAGTTACCCGATGAAAGGAAGACAACATCGAAATTCTTACCTCCTGACCCACAAAGACAAGAGCCAGCTCCAGAGGCTGATGAACGTTGTTTGCAGAGCACTATGGATTTGAAAACAAATACATAAATATAACTTGGAAAACACATCAATAGCACGAAAACCAAAAGAATAAAAAGAAAGAAAACCAAAGAGCACAATAAAAGAAGCGCAATAAAGTATCGGAAAAGAAAATACCAGTACGTTGGACCAGCCACCTTCGGTAAGAAGAGACTTTGCTAAATCCTTGGGGGATATTGTCTGATAATTTACGGCTGCCTTGACTCTGTTTTCAGAGAGCATGTAATCAGTAAAAAATGATAAAGAGTATCTGATGGTAAGTAATGACTAATGAGACTAAGAAACTTGAGTGGATTGGTAAAATAGGGTGTTAGGTGAAGGAAGGAAGGACGGAAGGAAGGAGTACATATGGTAATGAGGGGACCAGAGGAAAGCTGGCACTGTGGAAGCTGAAGTGGAAGGTGCTCCTGCAAGCGCAAGCAAACCCACCAAAACTAGCATCAGAGGCTGAGCTGCCTTCATCTTCTTTGCTTCGTTGCTTCTTTGGTTCTTTGCTTCTACACACTACCAACCCACACAACACACAACAAACACATATGGATCAGATTCAGCAGCAAACCAAAACCACAGATCAAATTTTTGGGTTTTCTTTATTGCATTCGAATCTAAACAATCTAACTTTAAACAGATACATCATATATCACACATAGTTAGACTAATTGAAACTGAGATCGATCGGTCGATTTAAAGAACAAAGTGCTGAAATAATCTAATCCAGTATGGGCGATGGTCGCGAAATGCAAATCCAAACGGAGAATACCCGAAAAAAGAAAGATTGGGAGATAGATCGATCGATATCGATCGGGGACGAACCTGAGGGATGAAGGATGACGGATGAGGCTGAGGGATTTTGGTGGATTTGTCGGAAATTATAGAAATCAAAAGTGGAGAATCGATTAAGTTATGGCCGCCCTCTCTTCTCTTTGGGTACGGGTTGGGAAGCACTTTGGATGTCAAACCAGGCCCTCGTATACAGCCCACCTTTTATTCTCATCCAGCCTGCTCATTCGTTTTTGGGTCAAATCCCGCCTGTTTTGAAACCGCCGGGCCCATCAAACTGTTATTTTTCCCTTTTAAATTTGGAATATAAATCATCTCCGATCGAGAGATTTTGTAAAGTGCCTAAAGTGATGAGATACTTGTGTTAAAAAATTAACAACTTTAAAAATAAAATTTTTTATTACTTGTATAATGATACATAGTGTATCACCCGTGTCCCGAGCACAATGAACAATTTCTCCATCGAGGCTTGCTTTGCTGCACCTTTTTTTTTTAATAAATAAATAACAATTGACATTTAACAAGAGCTTATTTAATTAAGAACAATATTTTGCTATTTAAAGATGAGTATGAACTCCCACTCGAAATTTTTTGTGTTCGAATCACAGAGATTTGTAATTATGATCATAACTGTTCAAATTATGAATCACTATATAAATATTATCTCTGCAAAAAATTTAAAAAAAATAAAAAAGAATTAAAACTTTGTTGTAATCAATCTATTGTATCACATAACTAAATGTTTCGTAATGTTTTTACCAATTTCGTTCATTTGTTTTTATACAATTTGACGACGAAACGATCTTAGTTTTAGTTGATTTTTGCATAGGCGATATTTATAGAGTAATTTATAATATGAGCGATTCTGATTATAAATACAAAGTATTATTCTTTAGTTAAATCTCATGACAATTTTGAATAGGAACTCTTACTCATCCTTTGAGTAGCCAAGTATTATTCCTTAGGAACTTAAAGAACAATACTTAGTTACTCAAAGATGAGTAGGAACTCCTACTCAAAATTTCTCAAAATTGTTCGTTGTCAATTTATAGAACTTCATGTTTATAATCAGAACCGTTCATATTATAAATTACCACATAAAGATCACATTTGCAAAAAATCAATTAATACTAAGGTCGTTTAGTCATTAAACTATTTAAAAACAAATGAACGGTATTGGTAAAAGCATTATGAACCGTCTATGTATTTGTTACAATAGATTGACTAAACGACCTTAGTTTTAATTTATTTTTTGCAGAGATAATCTTTACAATGTAATTCATAGTATGAACGGTTCTGCTCATAAGCATAAAGTTCCGTGATTAAAACATTAAGAATTTTGAGTAAGAGTTCCTACATCTTTGAGTAGTCAAGTATTGTTCTTAGTTAAATCTCAACTATTCAATCTTGAATCAGAAAGTATGAGAGAAGTTACGTACCCTCGTCAACATTTTGTTTTTAGAGAATTTCCCGGTTGATTAAAAAATGGCATCCAATTTAATTTGCATAACCAATGTTTCCAATCCAATTTTGACGATTTCAATAACTTTAAAATAATTGACCTGACCGCTAAATTCAAAATCCAACACCTCTAGTCTTTGAAAGATTTTACTGGAGTTCTCGACCTAGATTCCCCAGGTTGGGTCTTGAGCACCAAGTTCCTTAGTCCGAGTCTCAACGTTTCATATCCGAGTCCTGCGTGCTCGATTCTCAAGTCATTAACAAGGCCCTTGGGTCCTCGATTTTGAGGCGCCAAGTCTTCTAGACCATATTCGGAGCGTCAGGTTCCTCAAGTCGATCTTGGGTGTTAGGGTCCTCATGTTAGGTAAGGGCTCGTGGTCGTCGAGTTTGATCCAGGGATGCAAGTCTTCGACCATAGTCATGGACTCATGGGCATTATGTTTCGGCTCTAGGGATTTGCAAGTGGTAGACCTTTCTCACCAACCCACTAGTTCGAACTCTCCCCGCTCTCCTTTGTGTAGTTGAATATTGTAAATTATCCCTTGTGATAAAAAAAAAATCAAAGTGAAAATAAAAGATGATTGGGATTTGAGTTAAGTGAGACAATAGAAATATGAGTTACGATAATTACGAACTAACTTGTCATTTAGATAAGCAGAACATATACCTTTCACGTACAAATGAATATAAATATCATTAGATCATCAACATAGTACTAGTGTCAATTTTTTTTCACTAATTTAACTTGCAAACAAAACTATAGAGTTGAATTCTTGAAATGAGTTTCATATGTGGGGCTGTGTTATTAAAAAAGAAAGCGAATATGCGTGTGAGTGTTGGGTGGGGGTTGTATGGATTTTGTGTATTTTTAAAATAAGACGTTGTGCACAAGATTTCCACCAGAAATTGAATGTAAAGGGGTCAAGCTTTGCTTTTATTAATCTCTTCACCTCCAGCAGGCATCTGATGAACGAAGCTCTTTGTCCTTGATGGATATGAATGGACGGATGGACGGATGGACGGATGGACGGAAGGACTCATCATCCTTTTTAATTAACTATTACCCCTGTTTAACAGGTTAGCTTGAGAGTGAGTGAATGATCGACCATCATATCCCTCAACCAATTCTGGTGAAAACCATCTCTAATATTATATTATTATCTATTCTATTCTATTAAGAGAATGGCCTTGTCAACTTTCTTTCCTTGTTTTTATCAATTTTGCCCTCACTTCTGAATACACAATATTGACATGAAGAGAGTAAAATAGTAATTTTGTACCTTTTGACTTACCCTTTTTTTTTTACAAAATGACAATCATATTCTTATTTTTCCTATTTTACCCTCACTTTTGATACACAATATTTATATAAGGAGGACAAAAAACAGTAATTATGTAATATTAAGATAACTTATTAAGAGAAATTGTTCACACATACAAAATGTATGTTCTCTGCTAGTTATTATTATTATTATTATCATCATCAAAATGAATTTAAGAGAGAGTAAGTACGGTATGTATATTGCTCGACTGGCTAGTCGCTGGTGAATTGATTGATATTTGACGTAAATTTAGTAAAGTAAAAGCTTAATTTGCAGAGACCATGACCAGGAGGAGAGGAGAGGGGACAAAACTTGTGAAGCCCCCCACCCCCCACTCCTCTTCTTTTGTCATGTGAATGCTATTAAGGCTATCTCTATCTATCTATATATCTTAGCTCTAGCTGTAGCTAAACTTAAAATATCATCATCCACACCGCCCACCCCACAACATTCCCGTTCTGGTTCACGTTCTGTACTAGTATGTTTTTGTCTCCATCTAGCTCCTGATGATTTTTTCAGAACCCGATCGGATCCCCTGCACTAGCTCCATGGATCAACCTTGAATACTATCCACTACTTAATATATTAAGGAGCTAGCTTGCTTCAGGGTTTAGGGTTTCGGGTTGAAGCTCTCGATCTGATTCTGATATCAACCTTGCACTCAATGAGAGACCTGTCCTTGTTTCTAATCAAGAACTCTCTTGGAGCCAAGATGAAGAAAGGGTTGAGAAACTTTTGCAACGGTGATGGCTCAACCTCTACCCTCAACCAACATCACAAGACCACCTGCACCGATGCTGCTGCTTCTGCTACCTCCTCTAATCCTGCACCACTTCCGGTTGTTCGCTCTCCTACTACTGATGATAATTACTATTTGCAGGAAAATAATACCAGCAGTATTAATGATTCAGATCATGATCTTCATCAGCCGCCGACGTTGGAGGAGATGATACTGAGGTTAGATTTAGAAGAGGAGATTGCGAGATCCTCAAAGTATTCAAAACCTACAGATTATAACAAGTACAAGTACTACAAGGGAAGAATGTCTTGCGTTAACAATTCTGATATTTTACGGTCTGCAAGGAATGCATTAAATCAGTACCCTCGCTTCTCGCTCGATGGCAAGGATGCCATGTATCGCTCCTCCTTCAGAAACAGCTTGGATCATGATTTTGAGCATGATCTTACAAATGCTTTTACAAGGACGGAACTGCAGTACTGTAGGCTGCCAGCAACTGTAGCAGGGGAGAGGGTGAAATGGTGCAAACCAGGAGTAGTAGCCAAGTTGATGGGGCTAGAGGCCATGCCAGAACCTGTGATGAGTAGTACTGGTAGTAAATTAGACATTGCTAGCAGTAGGATCATCGATGTCATGAACATGAAGAAACGGAATCTCATGATCAGGAGGAGAGCTCATGATCATCAGAGACATGAACTGGGGAGAAGACTTGTTAGTAGTTATATGGATATCAATGGCAACGGTAAGCAATGTGATCATAGAATTTTCAATAAGAAAGCTGCAGCAGCTGGCAAGAGGACTGCTGCTGCTTTCTCCTCATGCACCACTTCCAAAACTACAAGTGCAGGTTACAATAATAATTACCGTGTCATGAAGGCCAGTGTTGCCAACAGCTAGCTAGCAGAAGAGAGGCTGGTTTTTCCCGTCTAGTCCACCAAACTGCGTGCGTATGTCTTTTGTAATTCATTAGCTTCTCACTGCAGATCAGCTTCGGATTTCCATTCCATGCATCTGTCCAGTGATTAAGCTAGGTAGCGCTCCTTATTAACAATGACAGCCGCAATTTTTTTTTAATATATAGGTCATATGTACTTGGCAGAGCAAGTCTCCGTGGTTTATATAATGTTGCAACATTATTGTCACATTGCATGGCCCCTCAACCATGATCGTGAAGACTAATACTCTCATCTGTATATTTCTGTTTTGTACACCATAAACCAAAGTCCTTTTGTCATCTTAAAAGGCAAATATGCGGAAATGAACACGCATGCTTAAGTAGACGTGCATCCGTGTGGTGTGGGTGTGTAAAGCTAGTTTTGTTTGGCAAATTTACCGACAACTGTAATTCCAATGATGATAGTGTGCTACAGGATCATCTTTTCATCATCCAAGTGCATGCCAACCCAAAAGTTACAATAAGCTTTAGAGATTAAGGTCGCTAAACATTAGTTAGAGTACCAATCATGTTCACTAGTGCTGTAGGCTCTTTTAAGCTGTAATTTTATGCTATAATGTTACATTTAGCAGGGAATGGTACACTATGAGCTATGACTTCACAGATTCACTTATAATTTAGATGAAATTCCAGTACAAAGATGAAGGGTGATGATAGAGAGAAGAGAGAGAGAGAGAGAGAGAGAGCAACAGAGAATATGACTGACATTTTCACACATTCACCATGACATGCGCTAAAGAGAGAGAGTGAAGAAAAATCACTTCAATTCTAACGAGCAATATTCAAAATACATCAAAGCAATCTCAGCCTTCCACCTTACACCTTATGATGTGTAGACACTTGGCACCTTACTTACTTAAGACCTATGAGACTCTAATTATAAAGATACAACCGAATTAGCACTTAGCTAATTATTCTAGCAATATGAGCTAGAATTACAACTACCACATCAGATCACAATTTACACACTAACAACCCCCTTTAAATTGTGAACTGATTTCACTCCAAGAAGTTCTTTGAGATAGGTGAATTGCTCTCTTGTTGATGTCTTTCTAAAGATATCAGCAACTTGCTCCTTTGTAGGACAATGAACCAAATCAATCACTCATTGCTGCAATGTCTCCTTTATGAAATGATACATCCTGTTTATATGCTTGGTTTTCTGATGAAAAATAGGATTCTTAATGATAGCTATGGCTGAAGTATTGTCACAGTTCATTGGTGTTGCAACATATTGGACTTCACCAAAGTCTTCCAAAACAAACCTTAGCTAAGTAGCATGTGCTCTTGCCTCAGATGCACTAATATCCTTTGCTTCAACTATGGATAAAGCAATACATTGTTGCTTGACTAAAGCCTAAAAGAAAACTCCATTGCCAAAGGTAAAAGCATACCCAGATGTGTTTTTCATGTCTTCTTCTGAACCACTCCAATCACTGTCACATAATCCTATTAGAATTCCTCCTTTGCCTTTTATTGTACTCCAAGCCAAAATCAAGAGTCCCCTGAACATATCTTAGAACCCTTTTTGTTGTCCCAAAATGTTTGTTAGTAGGACAGTGCATGAACCTTGCTAATAAACATGCAACATACATTATGTCAGATCTAGTTGCTATGAGATACAACAAACTACCTACAATTTTTCTATATTGAGCTTCATCTGCAGCTCCACTTTCATCTTCCTTCCTCAATTTATCATTTGGTACCAGTGGTGTGCTCACTGGTTTACAATCCTGGAGTCCAAATTTCTTCAACAGAGATGATGCATACTTTCTCTGGTGGATGAAAATGCATTCTTCAGTTTGCATGACTCTTATACCAAAAAAAATGATGTAGAAGTCCCAGATCAGTCATCTTATATTTATGCATCATATCAATTTTGAATTCATCCATTAACTCTTAACAGCTTCCAGTGTAGAATATATCATTAACATAAATGGACACTATAATCATCTCTGAGTCTCCTCTGCACTTGGTATACAATGTTTCCTCACTGGTACTCTTTTTGAAACCACATTGTGCAAAGTATGAATCAATTTCTCCATACCAAGCCCTAGGTGCCTACTTCAAACCATACAAGGCTTTGTGTAGTTTGTAAACCTTATCCTCATCTTCTTGCACAATGAATCCATCTGGCTGGTATACATACACCTCTTTTAAGAAAGCTAATTTCACATCCAGTTGAAATAACTTACACTTGTTCTTTGCAGCCAGTGCAGTGAGAGTCCTTCTTGTGTCTAACCTTGCAACATGTGCAAAGGTTTCATTATAATCTATCCCAGGCTTTTGTGCATAACTTTTTGCAACAAGTCTAGCTTTATTCTTTTGAACTAAGCCATCTAAGTTCAACTTTGTTTTATACACCCATTTTACCCCAATCACAGGCTTATCAGATGGTCTCCTAACCAATTCTCATGTCTGGTTCTTTTCAATCATACATATTTCATCTTTCATTGCCTTCTTCCATGCTTCATCTTGTGCAGCTTCATCATAACATTCTGGTTCAATGATACACAAATGGCATCTCTCATAAATCTCACTTAAGTTTCTATATCTCAGTGAAGTATCATCATATTGAGATGTAGAGACAGAACTGGTTGATTCACTAGAAATAATAGTTGGAGAGCCTTCAATTTGGATTTGAGGACCTTCAGATACAACATGTTCCATGGAATTTGAACTTTCATCAACTGCACTCATCTCCAAAGATTCATTTGTAGAAAATGGCATGCACAATTCCTTGACTCTATGTTTAAGAGAATAACACACTAAGCCAAACACTCTTAGGTGTTTAATTTCAGGTTTCTTCCACTAAACTTCTCAAAGGGTGTAATATTCTCCAATGCTTTTGTGGGACACCTATTTAGAAGATACACAGATGTGTTCACTGCTTCACCCTAGAGATTACATGAAAGGTCTTTCTCATGAAGCGTGCATTTAGCCATATCCACTATAGTTCTATTTTTTCCTTTCTGCAACTGCATTCTATTGTGGAGAATATGCAATAGTAAGCTGCCTCTCTAACCCCAAAGATTCATAAAACTTTTCAAACTCACTTGAAATGAACTCGAATTCCCTATTAGTTCTCAATTTCTTCACAGAATAACCACTTTGAAGCTGTACCATAGCCTTAAACTTCTTGAACACATAGAAGACTTCTGACTTGTGTCTCAAGAAATAGACCAACCACATCCTTGAGTAATCATCAACGAATGTAATGAAGTGTAACATCCCACATCACCCAGGGGAGTAGATCTTGTAAGCCTTATATGTATATTCTCATCTCTACCTAACACAAGGCCTTTTGGAAGCTGGTTTCGATTTCCATCAGAACTCTGAAGTTAAACGAGTAGAGCGCGAGAGCAATCTCATGATGGGTGACCCACTGGGAAGTTCTCGTGTGAGTTCCTAGAAACAAAACCGTGAGGGCGTGGTCGGGGCCCAAAGTGGACAATATCGTGCTACGGTGGAGTTAAGCTCGGGATGTGGTGAGGGCCCGGGCCGGGATGTTACAATTTGGTATCAGAGCCAATCCCTGGCCGGATGTGCGCCGACGAGGAAGTCGGGCCCCTAAGGGGGATGGATTGTAACATCCCACATCACCCAGGGAAGTGGATCATGTAAGCCTTATATGTATATTTCTATATCTACCTAGCATAAGGCCTTTTGGGAACTCACTGGCTTCGGGTTCTATCAGAACTCCAAAGTTAAGAGAGTTGCGCGCGAGAGCAATCCTATGATGGGTGGCCTACTAGGAAGTTCTCGTGTGAGTTCCTAGAAACAAAACTATGAGGGCGTGGTCGGGGCCCAAAGTGGACAATATCGTGTTACGGTAGAGTCAAACCTGGGATGTGGTGGAGGCCCTGGCCGGGATGTGACATGAAATGCCTATGTCCATTCATTGTTGGTTTTTGCATAGGGCCATACACATCTGAGTGTATTAGCTCTAATACATCTTTGCCCTCTAAGTTGATTCTTTTGGAAAAAAAACTCCATATGATTCTTTCGCATTGCACATTCTTGACACACACCTTCACTGTCATGCATCACAGGTAATCCAAGAATGATATCATGTTCTTGCAACTACTTCAAACTCCTATAATTTAGGTGTCCAAACCTTCTATGCTGAAGGGAAAATATGATATTTATGTGGGATTTCTAGTGACTAGCATGCATATACAATTCAAAATTTATATACGAAAGCAACGGAAGCATGTCATACATTTTATCAAAGCTATAGTCATGCAAATCCCCTTCAAGATGCATAGGTTTATATAAGATGCATCAAAAACAATTTATTGAAGAACAAAGTTTAGGAGTAGTGTTGTACCTCTTGATCTAGATCTAAGACCAAGGATTGACCACCTCCAAGCTCTTTGCTCCTTGAACTCCTTGAGCCTAGCCTCCCTCCTTGCCTCCTCCACTTTGTTGAGAATGAGTGCTCCTAGGTCCTCTTCAAGTTTCCAAAGATATGAAAACCTCTAAAGATCCTCACCCACTTTGTAATGAGAAAGATGAAGGAATAACCAAAAGGATGACAAGATGATTAGCTAGTTCATCCCCTTGGTGGCCGGCCTTTGAAGAAGTTTAGAGAGAATGAATATGTTTTCTTTTGTGTATTCTCAATCACCTAACACACTATGTCTTGTTTTGTTCCTTTTATTTCTTAAAGAAACAAGTCAACAATTGACTCACTCTCTCTCTCTCCCTTCTCATTTGGCCGGCCTATTGTGTTTAATTTGGGCTTTGGGCTTTTAATTATTTCAAGTCATCCAATGCTTGAATAAAAGCCCAATGGGTTTTGGCCCAATGGGCCCGATTAAACCCGAACGTTTCTTTAAGCCCAAAACGATCTTTATCGCTTTTATGATTTCTTTAGACTTTCTAAATTAATCAAAACACTTAATTAATCCAATTAATTATTTCCTTCATCCATTAGTTACTCACTACAAGAGTGTATCGGTGAACAATCTTTTAGGTTCTAATTAGCAAGGCAGTGAGGTGATTGGCACCAATCCAATTGATTATCCAATCACTTAGTGATTTAAAACTTACTTTTAATTCACCTTCCTTTTAATGACTACATTTAATCATCTAGAAGAACTCACAAGCCATGAGTGACATCTAATCATATATCATGGCTACCCAAGCTAATGTAGAAGTTATTCGGAGAACCTATTCAGTTGGAATTACAATGTAATTCGATCCTTCTCTAAAACAATACTCTCAATCACATTACTAGGGTATGGATTT